ATTAGATTTTGCCTAACTTACTAGTATGTTATTATCCTCCATTAGTATATCATTCCCTTCTTCCATCGGTTTATTATTACTCTGTGCATCTACCATCTCATTATCAATCTGATGATTTGATGTAATCTTTCGGATCTGGAACGTATTCATCACTAGAGTCATCCCCGACTAAGGTAGCACAACTTAAATCGTAATTATTGTCTTCCTCATCATATGAAAAACAAAAGATATAGTAAATTTACTGTAGTGGTGTAGTGGGTTACTGTTAAAAGGCACTTAAACTACCCTTAGCACTTTATAAGGCGGGTCTTCTTCTTCTTCATGTACCATGTCCTTTCAGAACGTTGGTTACCATCATAGCTATTTTAATTTTATTCACTGCCACCCTAAATAGCATGCTTGTATCTACACCATACCAGTCTCGCAAGTTCTTCAACCATGAGGTTCTTCTTCGTCCTGGACTGCGTTTGCCTGCTATTTTTCCTTGCATGATGTTTTGTAGCAATCTATATTTGGGACCTCTCATTACATGACCGAAATATTCCAGCTTTCTCTGCTTGATGCTTTTTATGATCTCAGTAGTCTTGCTGAGACGTTCTAGTATTGTGGAGTTACGAATCTTCTCCACCCAGGAAACTTTTAAAATTCTTCTATAGCACCACATTTCGAAAGCCTCAAGGCGATTTAGATCGATTTTATTCACAGTCCAGGACTCGACAGCATAAAGTAAGACCGAGAACACGTAGCAGCGAAGTAGGCGGATCCTTAATGCCAATTTTAGGTCTCTGTTACATAACACCTTGGACATCCTTCTAAAAGCAGCTCTAGCCTGCTCTATTCTGGATCTAATTTCGCCGTGATTTTCTGCATTACAATTTAATTGCTGTCCAAGGTAGACGATTTTATCAACTTGCTCAAGTTTGATATTATTTACATATATAGACGGTTTTATATTCTGTTGTTTACTTATTACGAGTATTTTGGTTTTCCTTATGTTAAGATCCAGACCTGCCTCCCTACAACTCTCAACGACACTATCAAGTAGTGTTTGCAGATCTTCTTGACTAGAAGCTAGGAGTACTGTATCGTCCGCATATCGCAAATTATTGATGACTTCGCCGTTCACAAGTATTCCTTCTTGTTTTTCAGAAAGTGCTTTTCTGAAAATTCTTTCGGAGTAAAGTCGGGTCTTGCTATGTCAAATTACATAATAATCATAACAAAACAGTTGACCAAGTCATGACATAAAACTTTTGTCAAATTTGTTAATTTCAATATTCATAATAATAACAGATGGAAATATTTTGTAAGATTTTTTAATTTTAATTAATGTCAGTTTTTACATAAGGAAAACTGCAGTGTTACTTGTAATTTCAAATATCTGTTTGATTAAAAAAACAAAAGATATTAAACTATACATTTGAAGTTGAAGCAGAACTGTTTACCTCCAAGTTAACACTTGGACACATTGTGAAAGTATATGACACTTTCCCTATAACAATAAAAAATACCATTGAATAAACAAAATATTCCTACATGAATTTCATATTTTATAAAAAAGATACTTACATTCTTCTTGGCGAACTTCATTCTTGCCTGTAGAATGCTCACTACTTGTTAATGAAATTGGCATGTGTACGGGTGAAATGAAAACTGGCTCGAAAAAAAAAATATTTCTAAATCAATTGACCTATATGTGGAAAAGTTGCCTAATATAATGGTCTATTCTAGAAAAAAAAAGTGACCTAAAATATTGCCATCTTCTACTGCCCATTTAACTGTGAAATTTAAAAAAATAAGGATAAATATTTTTTAATGCCGTGATGCAGCTCTTCGCTTACTTCCATAAAAAAAATCGTAATTTTTGATGAATATCGAGTTCCACCGCCCTCCCACCCTTATTTGTACTTTTGTGATTAATTTTCATTAAAAACTTATTGATATATTGATTATTGATTATAAAAAAGATATTGACTTTTTGTCTCGAATACTGGCAAACTAGCTCTAGAAGCAATTCGTGCATAAACCCATCCCTTGCTGTATTTCCACATACAGCAACTGACGCTTTTGTTACTAATTTGATGCACCTTTCCACTGCTTGCGTGTGGCATGGATATTTTAGAATTTCAATTTCAGCTGGAACATCTAAATTCATTTCTTCTAGTTCTTCATTGGAAATACATTTTGTCAGGGGAGGTTCTGTTATTGTTGTCGACTGTCAGTCAATCATATCGATGTAGTCTTTAGCATAAAAATTTAAAGATGGCAATTTAAATTCCCGAATTTCTTGTTGATTTGCTGTTTTCCTACAATTCTCTAATCTTCTCAGGCCTAATTCTATCACTGTTTTGCGACTACAGCCAACATAGCCAATAATACATGTTCAGGATGACCGAAATTCATTTCTTTGAATTACTGGGTCTATGATTTTTCTCAAATCTTCTGGTAAAAATCTGATGGTTATATTTTGATTGCAAACCATGTGGTGGCATATACTTTCATGAAATATTCTGTTCGAATAGTTAGATTTTGTGATGGTTTCGCTGTGGAGACATATAATCGTAAAATCCGGTTTGCGATCGTAAGCCATCTGGAATGAGCCATTTTCCTGGGGTTCCTTTTCGACAAGTTCAAAGATATGTTACCTTTTGAAATGGCATTACAAATTTCATATAGGTATTGTTGGTAGGTGCTAAGTTGATCAGCACTAATTTCAGGGAAAGTAATTTCTATAAAATTTGTAGGTTGTAAGGTTCCACATTTTTCTAGTTGCTTTCCTATCTCGCCACGAAATCCTTTTGGGCCAGTTGTTTTTCCGTCCAAATGTTGCAGCAAATGTCTTAAAGGTTGTTCGTTTGCGTGCAATAGGCAAACAAACCATTGTAGGGATCGATTCGGCGAAAGCCCAAGCTGTCTAATAATTCCATTCTTATTACCAGTATTTACTGCTGTACCGTCACAACCTATAGCCTGCAAATTTGAAACGTCAAAATTATGCTCCAAAAATTATAGAATGCTCTTTTTTATACTTTGCGAATTGCCAGATGCAGGAGTCAAATAACCAATATATTTGGATCCTGGTTCTGAAACTAGGACTATATGCTCCTCAAACTTCGTTTTTTTTTTGGACAAACTTCCTTCTTCACTTGGTTGAACTAACGTTTGGTCTTTTCTTCCATCAAAATATATTCCATATACCAATTCAGAACCGTCTTCTTTATCTTTTCTCTTGAGCTCAAATCGAGCTTTTGCCCTTGCTCTATGAATTTTGCTGCGGTCGTCAATTTTGATGAATCTTCTGTAGTAATTATTCCTATAGCTTTTAACGCTGCACTAACAAGAATTGCTGCCGTCCTATCTGAGACACCCGTTTTGTCACATGCCTGTGCTACAATTGGTAGTTTTATTCTCATCTGAGAAGTTGCAGGAGTATCGACCCTGTCTTCTAATTTAATGATATTTTCTTCTGATAAACTGTTTTTTGATGTCTCTTCTTCTAGATTAGATGACACTGACTGGTATGCTCTGCTAATTAAAGATTCTTTGTATTTATCATAATATTCATCATGCCTGATTCTCTCCTTTCCTCGGTTTTACTTTTACGCTTCCATCTCTTTTCGAGTACTTTTGTAGTTTTTTGATCAACTCTACCTATTACTATTTTACGCGAAGTTCTTTGGTCGGTTAGAAATTCACGTTTAAGTACAGGCACTTTTATTGTACAAGAACAGCTTAAAAAGTTTTTACATTTGCATAAATATATATCAAAGAGTTTTTTCTCGGCCAATTCTCTAAATAAAACAATCTGTTTTGAATTATTAAGTTTACCGTCCTTTTTAGCCATTTCTATTAACCGTGGTATTCTCGAATTTTATGTAATATTTGTTGGTCTGATACAACACAAATGGAACTTTTCTGTCACAAGTTTTTCAAGTCTTTTATTAAACGGGAACAGACATCATCAGCGAAACTAGGTCTTTGTTTACTTTGTTGTACAACAATTTCTTGTCGACGATATAAGTAACATTTAATAATATCCGCGTAGATCGGCAACATATTGTTCTTAAATGGTTGTGGTACACCAAACACAGGGCACAATGAACCAAGTCGTGTAAAAGACATTTTTTACATACGTTAACTGTTCTAATGCTGCCAAACAACTAAAATATTTTAACACCATAAATCAACGGGGGCAGACGATACGTAGGTCTACAATCACAACCGATCCGACCGATATATAAGATATTATATATATATATATATATATATATATATATATATATATATATATATATATATATATATATTAAGTATAGGGAAAATTCCAATTTTCAAAGCGGTTTGGGCATTAGAAGTTTTAGGTTGAGTGACCTGGGATTTTTTTTTTGGTGAATACTGGTAGTAAAAGGCAACTTTTCTACACATAGGCTTTAGGGAATTATGAAAAAAAATCTCGCTCCACCCTATTAGGTTAGAATTCCCATTTTTCATGGTTTGTAATACATTTTTGTCAATACTCTCGCTGGCAATTAAAATATTATCATTGAAAGCTAACTATAACATTATCTTTCCCCTTGAAGTCATTTCAACTATCAATGTGAGTAATATTACTAAACACAACAATCTTTTTTGTTAAATGGTGAACAGCTGATTCAGAGCTAAGTACATGAAGGCGGTATCATACAGAACTTGGTCAGGGCACTAGTAGAAGAAGGAGGTGTGTGCTATGTATGTTTCATACCTCCTTCATCCACTACAAATACAAGTAGTTGTTGATACTTATCTCCTTCATGACGTTAGTATTTCTCTTAATACGGCTTTTAGAATGCTACTGTAAGTTTCCCAAAACATATTAACACAGTCATACCTCTTTTTTCTACGAGTATAACTCAATTTCTGTAAAAATGTTACATACGTCCTTCATCCACTCAGCCCTTCAAATGTCACTGTACTGTTACACAATACTCTAGACAAAAAACTCACGTTTTCAAGATTTTTAGGTTTATTTGCCAAATTTGATTACGGACCTAAAGGAAATATAAAGAAATATGGAACACACACACCACCGTTGTATAATCTTTCTAATGTATTGGCTCCTGTAAGTCTATTTGTAGCAAACAAAGACAATTTAGTTCCCTTGGAAGTAAGTATTTTTAAGTATAAGTTATATAGGAAAAGCTTTCACTAAACCTTAATTACAAGCGCAAGCGCAAATTTCGCACTAAATTTGCGCAAGCGCAAATTTAGTGCGAAAATGGAAAACCTAAACGAAATTGAGTCCGCGGCTAATGATGCAGTAGCACGTTTGGGGCCCTCCAAGTCCGGACTAAAGTATCGGTTAGCACTTCCAAGAGTGGTGCGATACAAGAGGAGTACGGCAAGTTACCGAAGACGTTTTACTGGCATATTTTAATATAATGGAAAATGAAAATAAATGGAAATCTTCTACAATGTGGTCACGATACTCTATGATAAAATCCGAGTTAGTTATTAGAAAAAATGTGGATATAGGCAAATTTTTAAAGTTACGTGCCTTTCTGAAAAAATCAAGCGAAGGATATACTGCAAAGAATTCTAAAGTTTTTACTAAAGATGAGTTTGATAAATTTTTGTTTGAAGCGCCAGATAAGTCGTATTTAGGAGTAAAGGTAAAAAAAATTATATTGCAAAGTATATAGTATACTCTACTAAATTATAAAAATATTTTAGATTGTTTTGTTAATTGGGGTTACCGGCGCCTGTCGATGCAACGAAATGGTAAAAATGAAGACTGTGGACATTGAGGATAAAGAAAACGTAATAATTATCAAAATCCCAGACAGTAAAACACGACAAATTAGATCTTTTACGATAATTGGTCAAAACTACATTAAACTGTATAAAAAGTTGCATCACTGCGACCTGAAAATTTCACAGAAAACCGATTTTTTATTAAGTACCAAAATGGAAAGTGTTACCGAAGCGTCATGGGAATACATTCGATCAGCGCAGTAGCCCAAAAAGTAGCTAGTTATTTAAATTTAAACGATGCAAGCGCATACACGGGTCACTCTTTACAACGAACTTCAGCAACACTTTTAATTGATGGAGGCGGAAATCTAGAATGCCTCAAACGACATGGAGGCTAAGGATATATATGGGGGCTTCCAACATCGGGAATGATTGCTGAAAGTTGTTCTCGTCCATCAGTATCATCAACAATTACCAATGCGTATCAAGAGTCGGGAACATTTTTGCACGGTTTCAATTTTGAAAATGCCTCATTAACTAATTGTACTTTTAATATTTTAATTGAACATAAATAGTTCTAGGCATTAATTGGATAAATATAATGATTTGCAAATAGACTAATAATAAAAATAATATTCTAAGCATTACTTTTAGTTTAATTTATAACCAACATTTTGTATATTTTCAGGGAGTACGGGATCTTATCACCATGTTACCAAATGTTGAGTCCGTAAATGAAATTCTGATAGACTCCTTTAACCATGTGGACTTTATTTTTAGTAGCATTACTACACAATACATCAATGAACCAGTTAACCAATTGTTTATGAAATATTTAAAAAAATAAAAAGACTTAAATACATAGATGTAACATTTCTAAACTATTACCCGATACAAATAAAGCCACCCATATCATATTACACCTTAACAAATACCCTCCTAGACTCCCACTACTCCCAGTTCTACCAAAAAACAATTATTGTGTGTGGAATTGGTAAAATGGTAAGAGATTTGATCGAATACGGCCGGTTTTTGCTTTGCAATTTTCATAATAGAAATATCTAACTACTATAGTTTCCTTAATTGGCCGGTTTGCGCTCTCCTGTAATATAATTTTAATTTCATTCTACAATAACAGTCTGGTGAACCTGCAATGAACAAACTAACATGTCAAATAAACAGAAGAAACACCTTTTTCCTTTAGGTTTGAAAAAAAATGTCAAATCAAAACTTACAAAATTATTAAATTTTTCTATAGTTTATTTTTATGAACGAGAGAGTAATTAGCATAATTTTAACTGGTATCTCCGACCACTCCATGGGCGTGCTCAAGATTAATTGAAAAATTACTTTGAATAATTGTAAAAAATAAATGAATTATTTCAGTGTTATAAAGTGTTATGTGTATGTAAACAAAAGTGACCTCTTTTATCACACACTATATTAGAACTGACTGGCCTACATTAAAAATGGTTTTAAAAAATTCACATTTTTTTAAATTTTTTAAAATTACAAAAGAGAAAAAGAGTTTTTAAAACCGTCTAAGGTATGTTAAATAGATGAATAAAAATATTAATATAAAACTTACAACTACTTGTTACAAATCCAAATCAGATTCAGAAGATGAACTTTCAGAACCAAGATTTATAATAACTGGCTCGATCATTTTATCAGTAATATTGTCCAGCTTTCACATTTTTTTCCTCTTCTTTAATAGTGTGATTTACTACCTTTTCCCAGTTTTCAGGTTTTACATTATTTACTGCCTCCAAAAACAACTGTTTAACATCATGAATTTTAAAAGTGGTATTTTTTCTTGAAACTTCACTCTTTATCTGTACCCATACCAGTTCAATCGGGTTTAATTCACAATGATATGGTGGGGATCTAAGTACTGTCATTCCACGATTTTTGGCAATTTCATCAATTTCGTATTTTTTAAATTTTTCTTTATGAAGGGCACACAACGAATAAAGTTCCTTTCTTATAGATCCGGGATGGTACGTAATATTTTTTGAACTCACAATTCTGCAAGTCTTTTTTTAACCACTTGGTTGTGGGCAGTCCTTCTATAAGTCTGGAGTGATAACTTGCATTATCCATTACTATTACACAGTTCTTAGGAAGAAGATCTATCATTTGTTCGAACCATTCTTGAAAGACATCAGCGTTCATGTCTTCGCCACCGATACGAGTTGATTCAAAAGTTAATAAACCACCTTCAACAAAACCGTCTGAACTGCCAATGTGTACTATTATCAGCCAGCGTCCCTTTCCTGATGGTGGGTTTAAACCAGTAGATAAGTAATTTACAAAATCGTGCCTTTGACTTGTAACAGTTTCATCCTGCCAAAATTTATTTGGTGTATGACCCTCGTTGATCCATGTTTCATCAAGATAAAATATTTTTCTTTTTTGGTTTCTCATTTCCTTTATGGTTCTTAGAAAACTTCTTCTCCATATGACAATATCGCTTCTTTCTAATAAAATAGACTTTCTGAGATTCTTTTTCCAGCGGAAGCCTATTTCTTTTAACAGTTTCCATAACGTACTTCGACTCATTTCTGGGTAATCCTTATCATCTCGAACTGAGACAAGAACTTTATCCAATGTTGGAAATTCTTGTCTAAAGAAGAATTCATGCACTTTCCGTCGAAGTCCTTCTTTAAAATGATATTCTATTTGAAATTTTGGTTTCCCTGGAGCATTACGTGGCATTTGAAAACTACCACATTTCTCTTCTTTAATAACCCTGTAAATCGTAGATTTCCCAACACCAAGTGTACTGCTAACTAACTCAACGGTCTCATCAACACTTTCACATAAACGTTTGTCTGGAAATGATTTAAAACAATTAAATATTAATGTTTTTTCATTAACTGTTAAAGGACCAATTTTTCGGCGTTTACACGGCACTTTCAAATTTTCCATAACACTAGTATACACAATAAACTGCACCTTGCAACTGAAGTACCTACTTTTAGTGAACTGTTAAGAATTTTGAATACGCCACTTGGACCTTCCTACAAAATGGAAAAAACCCACTATCACATTTTCTGTGAAATAAGTTTAGAAGGTAATTATCTAGTCAATTACTGTCTTAGATTCCTGGAATTAAAGAATTAAATGTTTGATTGTTGAAACCCTTACTTCGTGGAATGCACTCATTTCAGATAAAATAAAACGTTTTATTTTATCTAAAGAATTAAACTTTATTTTGCAAATAGGTAGGTACTTATTAAACTTTTATTGGTTATATATAACCAATAAAATAAACATCTTACATTTCTTGCAAATTCATTAGTACCTGTTAACCTCCATCACTCCGACACTGGCAACCTTATTTAGGGATTAGTAACCCTCACAAGTATTGTATTCTATTCTGCTCTAACCTTTATACCTGGTGGTCATACTCAATTTAAAATTGTTTTCCTATATACTTCTGTAAACTTGTTGACAAATATCTCTTTTTCATTGAGTCACCCGTATCAACAGTTTAGGGATTTGCATACATAATTTATTGTTTTATTACTCTCTCATACATAAAAATACACTATAATAATGTCGAACAACAGAGTGTTCTTTAATCTTTAATACCTCTGTTTATAATCCTTAGTATTTCCAGAAGAAATTATTACAATGAGCGACAAAACGAAATTTTTATTTATCGACAAGACCACTCCCTCGGGATACAGAATCTTGGTGTTTGCCAGCAACAAAGCTAGGGAGATTTTGGTTAACAGTAAGGACACTGTAGGTAGAGTAGTCAGAAACCAAATTGACTTTGTCCTTGTTAGTCAAAGATTCCGCAATCTATACTCTCAGCTAAAACCTACCCAGGAGCAGATATAGGCTCGGATCACAATCCTGTAGTAGTCACATTAAGAATAAAACTAAAGATCATTAAAAACAGATACAGAAACAAATTGACGTGAGAAGACTGAATTAACAACATATAAAAGAGGAAACAATAGTGAACATCAAAGAAAATTTACAAAATATAGAGAAACTTAATAGAAATACTGATAACATAGACCAAATATGCGAGAATATTAAACATGCCGTAATGTTAGCAGGGAGAGAAAATTTAACACCGAAAGAAGGGAAACATAAAGAATGGATGAATGAGGAAATACTACAGTTGATGCGTGAAAAGAAGGGTACACAAAACAAATAATCCGATAAGGTACAAAGAAACAGATAAACTGATAAAAAAGAAAATAAGAGAAGCTAGAGAAAGATGGCTAAGTGAGCAATGCCAGGAGTTGGAACAATTGGAGCGAAAATATGACTTTTTTAATGTACACAAAAAGATTAAAGAAATGACAGGAAGGAGAAGAACAACACAGACAGGACAGATCAAAGATACAGATGGTATAATTATAACAGATTTACAACAAAAAATGAACCGATGGACAGAATACATATCACAACTGTTTGATGACAAAGATAGACAAGAAATCTCAAACGAATATACAGATGATACAGGGCCTGATATAATCAGAGAAGAAATAGAATATGCAATCAAACAAGCAAAAAGTGGTAAGGCCCCCGGTCCTGATGAAATTCCCGTAGAACTGCTCAAACTTATGGACGATGAATCTATTAAAATACTCCTAGATCTATTTAACACAATATATATAACTGGAATAATACCTAGGGAATGGCTCCGTTCGACCTTTATACTACTGTCAAAAAAGGCAAATACAAAGGAATGCAACGAATATCATACGATAGCTTTGATGAGTCATGCTCTAAAACTGTTCTTAAAAATAATCCATAATAGGATCTATAGGAAATTAGACGTAGACATCAGTAACACTCAGATGGGATTCAGAAAAGGGCTGGGTACAAGGGAGGCTCTGTTTGCAATGAACGTTCTCTCACAGAGATGCTTAGACATGAACCAAGAAATTTACGCCTGCTTTAATGATTTCGAAAAGGTCTTTGACAAAGTACAACGTGAACCACTAAGACAAGTTCTAATAAAGAAAAATATAGACAGCCGAGATATTCGAATTATATGCAATCTATATTGGAATCAAACAGCAAATGTCAAGGTTGAGGGCAGACTAACAGAAGAAATTCAAATCCGTCGAGGAGTCCGGCAGGGATGTATCTTATCGCCACTTTTATTTAATCTGTATAGTGAAGCTATCTGTGAACAAGCACTCGAGGAAGAAGATCTTGGTCTGATAATAAATGGTGAGACGATCAACAATATAAGGTATGCTGACGATACAGTTCTCCTAACGGGAACGCAAGTAGAACTACAACATCTCGTTCAAAGTCTCAATATATACTGTAACAGTTACGGCTTGAAAATTAATTTGAAAAAAACTAAATTTATGGTAATCACGAAATCAAAGAACATCAGAGCTAATCTTGTAATAGACAATACAACGATTGAGCGTGTGCCCTGTTATAAATATCTAGGTGCTTGGATCACAGACGATACTGATCAAACAAAAGAGATTAGATGTAGAATAGAAATCGCTAGTCAGTCTTTAATAGAATGCGCAAACTCTTTTGCAATCGTGATATCAATATAAAGTTACGAATACGAATGCTACGGTGTTATGTCTTTTCTACCCTGTTATATGGAGTTGAGGCTTGGACACTAAAACAGTTGACCATAAAAAACATCGAAGCTTTCGAGATGTGGTGCTATAGGCGCATTCTCAGAATATCATGGATGGACCGCATCACTAACACGCAAGTACTCCAAACTTTAGACAAAAGATGCGAAATTCTAAATGAGATAAAAACTATAAAGATGAAATACTTGGGGCACATTGTGAGAGGTGAAAAGTACGAACTTTTAAGAAACATCATGCAGGGCACAAT